GCACTTTACAAAACTCATATCAACTTTATCTTGAACTCTTTAATGAATATGAAAACTATTTGAACTAAACATACATTCTAATTGCCACATTTTATATTTTTTCACTTTAAACATTTGAATGATAATACTATGAATAATTTATATAATTTTAAATAAAAACAAAATAAGCCAAAAATCCAATACATGTGTAAGTTTCATTAACTTAATCAAAATTCATACTTGTTACTATTTTTTATCTGTATCAAAATGAAAGGTGATCATTGGTTGTGGCCGCGGCGCTAGCAACGACATTGTCAAGGCCGTACGAGGTCGACTCGTGCGCAACTCTTCTGCACGCACTCACCGGTCGGTACACACACCGTCATTTACTAACAGTATTATTACATTACATTAAATTAACTTAAACTTAAAAAACTGATTATTTAAAACACAATGTTACATTGGATGATGACCTTTTTGGTAGGACCTACAAATTAAATAAAGAAACCGGAAAATGTACCTATGTTATTTCCAACTGGGTTATCTACTTATATTGTACCTACATCTTACTGATACACAGTTAGTCATGTATGTATGTCATCAATTCATCATATTATGAAAAGGTCTGTAGGTATTTAAAAACTCTCAGGATGTAGGATTGGTAACATTTCTTTTAGATAAATACATTATTTATGTAAATTGGATTACATTAACTTAAATTATATTCTGAAATCTAAAAGAATTTAAGATCTCAATTGTGTTAAGAAATCCTAGAAACAGAAAATCAAAATTATTTTTTTTATAATCCGTAGTAGAATTTGTACAAAATTAAGTAGGTAGGTATACGCACAATTACAACTTAAGTACCACTTAAAGATTTTTTAAAACTCCACATTATGTCAATATGTAGCGAACCGGATTCGAAAACCATTTCTTATCCGTGACCTTCGAAATTCCCCGTCCCATAGTGTGAGCAGACGATGCAACAGTGTTACATAACCAAGCGAATGCGTTCCGTTGCGCAAGCGCAGTGTCCGGGTACCGTAACGGTGCGCGAACGATCCGGAATGCCGGCGATTTGACGCGCATTGCCTCATCACACACATTTGTTGCCCATCCGAAGGTCGAACCGTTGTGGATTTTTGATTAATTTCAATAATTAGAATCGACCATGATCTTGGTACGGTAAATGCGTCGTAAGTGAATCAATCAAGTTACATCAAAGTGTTGTGAAATGTCCAACTAGCACCAGCTCGTTACATGTGAACTTCATTTCTATAAGTATTCATAGTCCAAGGCTTACCACAGCTGTTTGCTAATTTAATAATTTCTTCTATACGTTGACAAGCGATAACACTTGTCGAGAAATTGATTTCCGAATTACCTGGTGCTCGTCTGTCTGTATGTATAGTCAACAACTTATCATCCAATCCAAACCTTATTATTATGAGCGCAAGGGTGAAAAGCAATGGACCTAGATCCAGTGATAGGTAGGAGCACTTCATCAAGCCGTGCGACGTCGATACCTCTCGCCCACGGATCGGATTTGGATGGACGATCGACGTAGTGACCAATTTCACTAATGAGTACGCAGAAACACTCTGACTGAATAATTCCGAAACATGGCCCTGAGGCCACAATTGTAAAACTTTCTACAATACCCCGCCAGTAATTTATTAGATTAAAATGATTTTCGATTTGTATCTCGTATAGGTGTGAATGTGTGATAAATAGCTTTTATGGCTTGTATTACACCTATTAGACGATATTTATCGTTAACTTAAATATAGTATAACATAATTTTATGGTGTGTACCTATGTGCTGTGAGCCTGTGAAACTCTGTTTACTACAATTAAATGTTGCTTGCACTTAAAAATGTCAAATAAAAACGACATCCAGAGTGATTACTGCCTCCTTAGATTTAAGTTGGAGTCCATTGATTTAGTGAAATATTATATCTAAATAAAAATAGTTACGTATTTTTTTAGATTACTATACATAGTGGACTATGTTCATGTACATACAATTTGGTGAATTTCAATACGCAACGCATCTTAAGCACGTTGCAATTAAACGCACCCTGAACTTATGATGAGCTACTTGTGGGAACAAACGAGGCATGAAATGTTCTATTGTATATATACCAAAACTTACAATATCATGGGAAAACCATGCAATAGAACGAAAACTAAACTTTCAAGCAGATCGCAGAGAATATTAGAAGATTAATTAATTAAAGGAAGATAAAACTACAATCATAATCGCAGAGCGCATTTCAAGCATGTACTTGGAGGGAACAAAAAAATTGAGTATTTTACCAACCAGTCCTAATAAAGAGTTCTAAATATAGGATTTTAACATATTTAAGCTTCAAAAAATATGTTAGGGCGCTAAGAAGTTAACATGAGAAATGTGACCGAATCTCGACTAACCGAACACTAATAGTTTACCTAAACGGTTAACTATGACTTTAACTATTCGCCGCATTTACAATAAGCATTAACCTATTTATTCCTTAATAGTTTAGTTGAATTAGTGAACATTTGCATCTATGCAGCTATTTCCAACCAATAAATGTGCAGATGTAATCACATGATACGAGTTAAATTCCCGCATTGCAATTATTGGCGGCAAGTATCTGCCGTACCGCTGGTATCTGTACAATTGGATCTCTGTACATAGCATCACAAAGTATCTATGCAAATAGACACCATTGCCATCAATTGGGATAACTGATCGGATCCCAACTGCCCAGAGTACCGTTAATAAAATATTACATGGGCATAATGTTTCAATTAGTCATCGTTCGTCATGGTAAAGCTTAAATTCAAGAAGATAAATCAAAAATGAACGGTAACTGTTGTGGGCATCTCCTAATTAGTTGACCTTCTCACGTGTTCAAAGTTTCAAATATTTTGGATAGTTTTTTAATATTACCATAATGCCCTTAAAATTTTGTCAGATCATAGATACTTATTAAAGCCATGTCTATTCTTCTATGTGCATTGCTGCTGTTCGTTAGTCTCACTAAACGCCGAAGACTTAATGAAGAAATTGCAAGCTAATGTGTAAAAACAAACTATACTCTTCTTATAAACTAAAAATCGTAAAGCAAAAATAAAATAAGACATTTTCTCAATACCAAGAATAAATATTTGGTTGTGTTCCTGAGTTACGTAGGTAGGTAGGAACGGTGCTACGTAGTATGCGCGGGCGCCGGGCGCCAGGAAGGCGTCGCCACTCCCGCGCTTACACGGGCCATCTCGCGCGACCCAGATCCTGACGATTACTTACATCTAACACTACTTCCTACTCGGTAATGCACAGACCCGTTTTAATCAAGTTTAACGCCAAACAAATCTAACATTAAAAGAGAATTTGTTTCCCAACCTGTCTGCGCCCTCCACTATTTACATAATCACTTTGAAACGATACGGTAAGTAACAATTTACGTAATGTTATGCTTTAAAAAACACATAATACATATCCGGCCCTTTCGTGCTAAATTCCATTATCATAATGATATTTGGATAAAATCATTTGCCTACTTTTTTATTCCAAAATAACAATCGATTTCTTAACAATGCTGTTAAAAATATAAACAAAAATATAAACAGGCTGAACATGTTACGCGAATGATATAAGTGGAATGTTAAATCAGTTGATAATTGGATAAATCCATCAAAATTACAAACTGGTAATCGGCGGAAGTTCGATCACAGCTCCCGTCAATTCGTCCGCTTGATTTGCATAATGCAGAATCCATTGATCACACGAACACCTCGTTTCCTGTATAAATCAACACCGGAATATGGCCATTTTATGATCGAAATGGTTCGGAGTAGTCGCACGCCACCGTCGGAAGCAGCAAATTACGCAGCTGCTGTAAAACATCATATAATAATATCGAGCGAGCGAGATTTGAAATCTGACAAACGAGGAATATTTGCGGCATGCTACTACCAATACTATACGAGATGAATGCTTGCGTGTGACGATAAATTCAAGGGCACTTTCTACTTTCGGTTTCTTCGAGTGTTATTTGTGTGATAAGATTGAACTGTTAGATCTCCTATCTCGTGTCAGATGGTTTCTGATTAGAATCAATTAAACTTCTACGATTATGATGAAAGTAAGAAATGTTAGAAAAAAACATGTCACTGTGTCAAAGACCATGTAAAAAGGTCGTCATGACATAGCATAGCTTATCTAACATGCCGAATGAATGCAACCTGCAAATGACAATAGGTGGATTTTGTTTATTTGTTTTGTCCATTCTGCTTCATACAATTGTTTTTTGTTGCTGCCAAAGAGTTTTCACAAGAAGTTTCAGTCAATATTACCAAATAACTTAGGGTAACTGACCTCGTGGAGCCATTTGACCAAAGCATGCATCCACTTAGTATTTTTCTTAGTATTTCTCTTTCACTCCACTTAGTATTCCTCTTTTCTATGCTTACATCCTTCACAAATAATAGGCGGCCTACAAATGAGAAATGCTTGCATCTTGCTTAGAAACAATGAAAACTGTCGACGAAGCGACAACGCTAAATCCACCTATTGTTTCTAAAACATGCATTCGTCAAATGACGCAACGTGGACAGTTACCCTTAACATAATGTAGGTTTCAAGATTTAATTTTTATTGTTGGATCATTGATACAAAGACGGAATACTGCAACGGCAGAATATGTCGATCCAGGGCAGGAGGTACGTTAGAAATTTAAAAAAAATGTCTAAGTGCCAATTTTTCAATCATCAGTTATTTCTTAACTGTGGAATAAAATTGTCATTTGACAATTATTGGTATAGAAGGATTATCAAATATTATAAGTTATTCCTCTGAAATAATTTAACTGAGCATTGAAAAATCGGTTCTAATATTATTAGTAGTTGACTGATGTATTAACAGTTTCTTACATGTTTTATTCAAACCTTTATGAAATGAAATAAAACAAAAATATTATAATAAACGTTACATTTTAATATAAAAAATAATAGATACGTTACTTAAAGTAAGTACTGACTACAAAACAAAGTTGTCCAGTTTTAGAGAGATTACTCTGCCTGAATTTCTTCGAGTAACAATAACATCTTAAGTCTAAATTTACTCATTTGCTGTGCAGATAATTTTTCTACGTCTGGTAATAAACTTAACAAAAACATTTTTCTAGCGCTTGCAGGCTTTGTCTCTTTTCTTTTTATATAATCGATGATTGCTTTGTCCGCATCGTTGGCAACTCTTCTTCCTTTAAACTTCTTGGTATATGATATATCAGTATGACTTTGAGTATATGGGACATCCTCAGTTGCAGAACTTGATTCATTGGAGTCTTCTTTTTGAGGTATGTTGTCTGGTTCATTGGTGTAAATAATTGCTTTTACAAAAGGCAGAAGAAACTGTAGTTCGTCATATAGATAATATAGTTTCTTTTGTTTTGTAGATGAACCACAAGGCGTAGGTTTCAGGCTACGGACGAATCCATTCCTTATATTCTTCCACTTATTTTGGCAATCATACACTGAAACAAACATGTGTAATGTAAATAGGTAATATAAATTAATCTGTTTGATTTTTAGGTACCTACAGCTGATACTTATCAACTGGGTGTAGTTTTCGAGCAAGAAATGTACTTTGCCTGACGATACAATGGGTGTGGACGGTACACAAACATACAATTTCACATACACATGACACCCAGATCTAAAACAATATTTTTTGGATCACACAAAGAATTGCTCTGTGCGGGAATCGAACCGGTAACACGTTGCGCGACAGTAACACTGAGGCAAAAACCGACTTTAATTCCTAATGCACTTTTACCTTGTTGATTTTTAATAACAAAATATGTTCATAGAAAAGTAGTCTCTATACATAGGAAATAAGGTCTATAATGGAGTGAGTGACAGAGGAGACCGGTGGTGTCCTCTCGAGGAGTAACTTGCACATAGGTAAGTAACTAATTTTATAATTTTTGGAACCTAGATCTGTACTACTCTGTTAGTATAATTATTGTGTGATCAACTTATAAAAATCTTATTATTTCTTACCAGAAGTGTTTGTTCTTTGCGCCACTTCAACCCAAGCTCTATCCGTTACGTCTTTTCTGGAGTATTCCGGCAGTTTATTGTTATATAAACATGGATATTCTTCTATAACTTTAACAAAATTCACTGCTGCGGATGCCATTTTGTTATACAAAACAACAATAAATATTACAGTGCCTTTCGAGTTTGTGCGTCAGCCGAGTGACGGCGACATACTACTGCGCGCGCCGCACGACGCAAATGCCGTTTGCACGGAGCGGCAACGTGGCGTCAGTCAGTCGTCATACAATTCCGCCTCTATTATCATTTGTAGGTTACGTTCATTCGGCATGTGAAGCGTCGCGTTGAGGATAGTATTACGACATTGGTCGTGATAATATGTAACCACAGGAACTACTACTAACAGATCATTAGCCAATGTGAATTGGAACGTTGGTCCAAATATGTGAGTTCGTGGCACCAGATGCACGTAGAATATGCATTATCCATACCTGTATGAGCGGAAGTGATGGATCCGAACACTTCCACTACTCTGGAATGCGACCGGGAATTCACGTTGGTCAACATGAAACAAGAACACAGCAACATTTGGAATTCATCATTCTAATTAGATACAAGATGAATTTTGATAAAGTGTTAGTGGCATGAATAAAAGGTCTATTTATTCCACTGACCTAGAGACAAAATAAAAATGGTTTATATTTGTCATCGTAATTTATTATTATAACACTGCGTGTCAAGCGTAAACGCGATTAACAAGCTATATGGTCACTAATGAAGAAACACCTGTTAAATAGGTGAAAATATTAAAATAACTCTAATATGTTTTGCACTAGTAAGATTATATATGAGTAAGTACCTATAACGGAGTATATGAGTATTTATAAAATGATACAAAATAGTTTGGTAGGTACCTAATTAATCTTATCACAACTCATGAAGTATATCAATCACGTAAGAATATGTTACGTGATATCATCATCATGTAATAAGACGGTTCCTAAGAATTTCCAAAAAATAATAATAATAATAACAACATCCTTGCTTGACAGTTGACCTAGTGGTCACCCGACCTACAGTCAATCGGTATAATGAACATTGGAAAATATGCAAACAAAATACAATACAACTGCCTAATATTTAGTCCAAAATGTAACCTAGGGAATTATAGTCAACTGGAAAGAGCGTATTCCTTTTTAAAAGGCCGGCAGGTCCAACACCAGAGGAGTCACAGGTGGGTACCTGTGACTCCTCTGGTGTTGCAGGTGTCCATGGGCGGTGTTGGTCGCTTATCATCAGGTGATCCGTCTGCTCGTTTGCCTCCTAATCCATAAAAAAGCGAGCATCTGACAATATGACTTTTTTAAGTTTATGTACATAAAACCACCGATGTATCAGTTACTGAAAAATCTTAGATAACAATTCCTAAACAAGCGTGGCGTCGTTCAAGGAAAAGAAAGTGCGTGTGGAGACCTTTACCTACAGTGTGATCGTGATAAGCTAATTCATCTATTCCAGGGCCGGAGGACCTTGGTCTTTTTTTATGGCATAAGCCGGTAAACAAGCAGACGGATCACCTGATGGTAAGCAATCGGCGCCGCCCATAGACACATGAAACACCAAGGCGTTAACCGGCCTTTTGGGAATTAAGAATTTGAGGATTATGGAGGATTCGAGGATGGGGGACCCTTACCCCAATCCCCGAATCCTCCAAGCATGCTGAAGCATGGCTCTCCCACACTTTTATAATAGTTGCTTCACTTTTATAAGGTCTCTTATTTATAATAGTTGTAAAATTTAATAACGTTGATTTCATAGTTGCAGATTTGTCAAAATCAAACTAGCAAAATTTGTGAAAAAACATCTGCAAGCATGAAACATAAAAATGTAGAATTTTGCAACTATTGTAATAAGGCCCCTGGTCTTTGGGTTGTGCACTCATGCTTTGCTAATGAGCAAGTTAGTTCATCGGAAGCACTGAATACTTACACCAACCGGTTCACAGGCGGAATGGAGGCAGTTTCTTTAAAGTGACTCAACCAGGATGACGCATGATCAGAGTACCATTAATCATCAACATAGAGCCTTTGCCATTGCAAATTATGACCCATAACCAAATACACCTTGACCATGAACATTTTGATATTGGAACTATTAGAAGTCTGCCTTGAAACCGATTAGCAGATATAGATATGACAATATTAATTAGGTAATCTTATAGTTCTATCGCACGGTTGGTGCGGTAGCTGAGTAGCTGGCTGTCACGCAACGTGTCGTGGGTTCGATTCCCGTGCGGAACAACTCTTTGAATAATCTACAGATTGTTGATCCGGGTCTGGATGTCATGTATATGTGAAATTGTATGTTTGTAAACGCACTGACGACACAACAGAAAATAAAAGTGTAGGGCAACATTTATTAAAAAAAAAAATAGTATCACTCTTCAATGCAACTTTTGAATATAAGGTCTGCTCGTGACAATAAGCTTAAACCTAATAATGATCCTTATTTATTACTGAAACTAATAAAAACAGAACGTTGACCTAAAACCTATCTCTTTGACAACGATACTTTTTATTTATTTTGATATTTGATATAGTGGACCAGACGGTAGAAAAAAAATTAGGGAAAGGCTTTTTCAATGTGGTAACTTTTACAATTAAAGTATTTTTTCTGACGATGTTCTTTACTGCCAAAGTGAAATTAAATATTTTTTAGAATATAAGTCAGGTATTATAACAATATTACAAAAATATAATTTACTGTACGTACCCATAATATTCGCCTAGTCTAACGATCTTATATTTAATAGTTCACTCGACCATTGCAGTTACATATGTACATATATTTTTCACTATACTTTCGGTTTTTTTATATGATAGGCCGGTAAACGTGCTGACCTGATGAATATGGTATAAACCTGATGTTAAGCAATCGGCTCCGCCCATGGGCACCCGAAACACCAGAGACGTTACAAGTACCTTTTGGGAATTGGGAATTTGAGGATTGTGGGGGATTCGGGAATTAGGGATACCGGGGAGGGGGGTAATTAGGCCTCCGATAACCTCAGCCCCACGACGATTTAATACAAGTAATATAAGAAGAATTAATACAAATATTTAATAAGAGATACCTACTAAGTATATTATCCGTTCAAGTTTACAAATGATGTTCAAAAAATCTTTAATCTTTCAACTGGTTATATTCGGGACACATCAAGACAACTCAATCGTGATTAAAATAATTAGGCGTAACAGAATCACGGAAAAATTACGTAAAAATTATAATTCGCTCTCATTTCTTGAATAATTTTCGTTTACTTTCTAAAAACACAGAGAACAATGGACATTAACGTACATTGTAGTATCAAAATCACGATCCCGAATCATGAGTCAGGATTCACACTTTGAATTAATAGTAATCTGTATTTTTTTTTCTCAAACGAGTTTTGTACGCTGATTTGCGGTTTATGGTCGTGAGTCAGAGAGAAAAAAGATTTTTTATTCTTAACGTGATCATTGAATGTGGTGAGGCTCGGAAAATGGCGGGTATGTCAGTGTTAGTTACAATGCACTTCACCGTGTTGTAGGCACAAAATAATATATTTTTCATTACCCCCTACTCTCACTATGTATGTTTATAAGGGCCGATTGACTACTGAACTACCCATTTGGCAAAGACCGAGCAATAGTGCTCTAAGATAAACCTAAACCTTAAAACTGCCATCTCGAATGGCCTATTTATACCTATTGTTGAATAATTCAAAGATTGACATTATCTTATGGTGCATTCTAAATAGCACATCGCTCCACTCGGGGCTCCAATACAATATTATGGGAAAGAAAAGGTGAGTCAGCCGCGAAGAAGTTATTGATTGAAAGAATAAACATTAAAAAACACTAGCCACTGACTGACATTAAAATAAAGTAATACTAATGTGTTAAATACAGGAGAGAAGTACCACCAAACGTTGTGTTTACATTTTTTCTGAATGCTAACAGGTTACGTAAACTGTTGATAGTAGTGATATCGAAACTGTATCGATTGTACAGAATTTCTAGTCGATTTATACACAGACTAGTTAACGTCGTTCATGACTTTCCTTGTCTTTTATTCATACGAGAATCACATTTCTGTACATATTTAGGGAAGCTACTTGAAGGACTACCTTAAATCATGTGAAAACAGGACAAAGCCAGACTCTAGTAAATCCTACTTTCGCTATTATTTATTTTACACAGATATGAAATTTACTTAGGCACAAATCAACTGTCGTCGTTTCGTAGAATGTTCTAGAGCCGGGATCCCTTACCGGGAGTTTGCGAATTCTAAGACGGTCGCGCTCGTGACATTTACAATCTTCTCCCGGTAAATCTAATTTATAATAAGCTATTAATACATCGTTGTAGATACTGACTCACTGGATTCAAGGAAAGTGCTTTCGCAACATGACGCTGATTTGTTTAAACATTCTATAAATCTTTGGAATGCTTTCTGCAATCAGTTGAAAAAGTAAGGTGCATCCGTAGTAAAGCAACAAAACTAACTTAACTTAATAAGATTCCCATGTGCTCGTATAGTACGTCAAATAAAAAATGTAATAGTAAAACCTCAGACTAAACATGCTAATGTATTATGTGACCACTTTCTTCTTGACCTTAATGTAAGGTTTTACCAAAGATGTAATAATTGGTGACACATGCGTTGTAAAATCTTATGAAATTTTAATGCCATTGAATTCTAAAATCAGTTTTAAAGCAACACTATCATAAGTAATATGTATGTATGCTGGTCGTTACGATGACTACAAAGCAGCTATGCAGAGCCTATACAGGGACTACGCAACAACAACAATGCGGAGTGGCTACAAAACGTCTATGTAGCGTCTATGAAGCAGCTAAGCGTCGACTACGAAGCACTACACAGCGACTACGAAGTAGCTACGCAGCGACTTCAAAATAGCTACGCAGCGACTAAGAAGCGTCTACAGAACAGCTATGCAGTGACTACGAAGCGGTTACAGAGCAGCTACGCCGAGACCAGACATACTGTCTGTCTCCTGTCTTAAGAGAAGTACGCAGCACCCGGCGTAGCAGGCACGGATACGCTACGCTAAAACTATACAAATACATCGACGGTCGTAAAGTATTTTTTTTTAAACGTTGCCCCACACTAGGATTTTCTCGTGTGTCGTGGGTGCGTTTACAAACATACAATAACACATACACATGACACCCAGACCCGGAACAACAATCTGTGGA